CCCTCACTTTGACGCTGACAGAGCTGAGCAGTTGGGCGCCGAGGAGGACCAGAGGGTCGATGGTGGTGCTGCTGCTACTCCGGGGATGGTCGGGCGTGCTGTTGGTCATTACAAAAATGCTGAAGGGAAGAAGCATATCGTCAAGTGATCTCCCTCTACCCCTTTGCAAGAGGTGGCGACTCCCCACTGGGAAGTGGACTTTGGTCGCGTACACGGATCAGGATGCGATCGCTGGACCAGACAAGTGGACTAGCCAAGGAAGCCACTAAAGAGGTTTCGAGCGAGGCCGCATGCTCCGGAAATGCAGTAGGCACCACCGAGCGATTAATCTTCGATCTCTGAGCGCTTCCAGACACCAACAATGCACTCGCAAAAGATTTCCAAGATGCGCCGTAAAAAGCGCTCGCCATTGTAATCGATTACCGGCGAGCCATTTTCGTCTACGGCGCACATCCGCAACTGAATCTAACATTGGAAATGACGGCTGACGGACCTTTCTGGGATGGTGTCCGAGGGCTGATGGACAATCTGACGGACATGATGGTGTTGGCGGATAAGAGTGGGAAGATTGTAAGCTGGGGAGGGGTACTGGTCGAAATCGGGGGTATGCTGATTGTTTTCTTTTGAGTGGAAACTAAATTATACACGGTTGACATGGTAGATTGTACGAGCCGTAGGTGGAACGTTTAGCGACTGTATCTAGTCAACATCTGTTGAATGTTGTTTGTTTGAGTCTAAGCATGTGTGGTTATGTAATGTGGAAAAGTGTATCACATGGGATTGAACCGGAGACTTGTTGGTTGTTAGACGATTATTCTACCGTTAAACTAGATTTTCTGGTGGGATTTAGCTTTCCTTCAGATCCACAGCAATGATGCCGTTGAAATCATCACCGGTCATCTCGCCTCGGACTTGATCGGTCAAAACGTGGCGGTAGAATTGCTCAGGAATAAACGCCGCTAATTTCAGCCATCTCAATAGGTCCTCATGCCCGATGAGTTGGCAAGCAGCCATCAGAGCTTTATCGATGGTTTCGTGTCGAAGACTGATACCAACCGGAAGGAGGTGAAATGGTTTCGAGTGAAATTTTCTATTACTGTTGTCGCAGGGTTTGAGGAGGAAGAATTCCTTCACGGTTTGCAAGGTGGTTCGGCCGATCAAAGGTCAGCTCAAGAAGAAGGACGGAAGCATTATTTCGGTACGTTAGAGATGAATAATAGCAATTGTCGAATCGATAACTTAGGTGGAGCTCATTATAAATCACATCTCCGAAGAACCTGGATCGCTGGACTACTGTTTGATGGCACATATCAAAGATCTCACTAAACACGAGATGGCTGAGAGGCAACAACAGGACTTCCTTGCCGGGGTCGCACATGAATTACGTAAGAAGGCAACTGATGAGAAAACTTAATCACTCGAAATTGTCATAGATGGGGCCTCGTGAGGTTGAATTTTCTCTTTGGTGTGTGTAATTGTAGACTAGTGATGGGGTCTGTTTGAGGTACTCCACTAAATGGTATTATTGGTCTGTCGGACGCTCTCATCAAGACAGAGCAGAATAAAGGAAGGACGAAGCATTTAAAAATGATTAATTCTTGCGGGGTACCGGGGATAGAACCTGGGTGGGTGGGTTGATGGTCGGGTGCTCTGCAGGTTCGACTAGTGGGACTGGTGAATATGATCATGGACGTTAGCGCACTGCGAGATGGGAAGATGCAATTGAATTTGACCAAGACGGTTAATTGCAACGAGATATGCGAGGAGGTTTGGGAGTTGATGAACATGGCTGTTGATAAAAATGGAAAAAAAATTAAAAAAGATTCAGTCGATTTGCAAATTGAATGCGATCCCGACCTTCCGGTGAGTTACCTTCACGGGCTGAAAGATACCCCCGCAGCAAAAAATCTTCGCTGTGCGCATTTAGTTGATCGAGGGTGACAAGGAGCGACTTTCCCAAGTGATATTTAACCTGGTGAATAATGCGCTTAAATTTACCCCATCCGGTAGGTCCCTGGTTCGATCCCTGGTGGGGGCGTTTTTCCTGTAATTTTCTTCCTTATCAGGATTCGTCCGTATTGCATCTGCGTTTGAAGCGGAGGCTGGCACTCTGTTGTTGAGTGTCTCCGATTCGGGTCAGGGAATAAAAAAGGAAAATTTGGGAAAAATTTTCGAAGCCTTTGGTCAAGAGGAAGAGGGAAAGGGTGGTGGTTTGGTAAGTACAGCAAGTGGTTGTTGATTGAGCTCAGTTGAAGAGTTTTGGAATATACGTTTGCTTTCCTCAGCGGAGCTCAGGAGGTCCCAAAGCTAATTATAAGAGTTTATATACGACTTGGAGTAGGAATGTACAGAAACGAATAAGAATTTTTATATTTGCTGATTATAGGAGTTTATATACGAATTCGGGTAGGAGTGTATAAAAACGAATAAAAATTTCCGAGTAGTGCATTTGCATTTTCAAATTGTCACCAATACACACGACCCCTCGATAGTTTTGAACTTGAGCAACGTATTCGAAAACCAGCGAGAATTTTCTGGAATATTAATATTGTCACTAACACATGTAGTTGACGCGTGAAAACTGAGTTGAAATTTCAGGGTCTCGGTTTAGCGATATGCACGAAAGTCTCCGAGCTGCACGGCGGAAAGATATGGGTTGAATCTGAGCTGGGAAAAGTGGGTAGTGTTCGACCTCCCAATGTTTGTCAATTTCAAATTTATGTTATCTAGTATTGGAGTTTGGTTGCTCTCTTCAGCTGAGCTCAAGAGTTT